AGGGCTTATTTTCAGGGGAGGGCTTATTTTCAGGGGAGGGCTTATTTTCAGGGGAGGGCTTATTTTCAGGGGAGGGCTTATTTTAGTGCATGTGTTCAAAAGCCCGATTGGGCTTATTATCCAGAGGGGTCTTATTTTCAGGGAAACAGGGTACATTTGATGGGTCTCAGGCAGGAGACTTTTTCTATGGAGGTGCCCAATTTAGGAAACCAAAGTGGGCACCTCCATAGAGGTGAGGCAACCAAAAGTGAGGCTGGCCTCATTCCTTTTGTCTTTCTAGAAGGCAACAAAACCTACAATTAGTTCTGGGGACTCCATGGGACCAGGGAGACGAATGTTATCTGCAAAACCAGGGTCGTGTTTCAAGGACTTTACAAAGAGAGATGATGGATGGCAGAAAGTAAGAGTAGCATGGTCCATGAACCAAGGAAGATGGGATGATGGTTCTGCTATGGAAGACTTGATGAGGTCTTTTCATTTAGGCCAGCCCCGCCCCCCCAAACCATTGACCATGGCCCGCTAATGGCCCGCAGCCTGCTTGAAACTGGACTGTGGGAAAAATGAGCAATTGTGGACGCCTGAAGCTCCACTTGCACAAGGAGTGGACGAGCACGAGAGAAATTCTATGCACGGAAGCGGAGAGCACTTGCACTCATGTGTGAAGTTCCACTCACGTGAGTGGAGGGTACTCATGAGAATGGAACTTCACGTGTGAGCACAAGCGCCCTCCGCTCACTTGAGTGGAAGTTCATGCGTGAGCATGCACCTGGCCCAGAGGTGAGTTCCTACTGGTTTGGCTGAGTAGGAACTGGTTCTTTTGGCAGCATCATAGGCACCATCATCTTGCTTTTTGCTTCTATGCATGCATAGAAGCAAGTTTTTTTAGTAATATGCATGTGTGCTTAGCACACACAGCACATCACTGAGCAAACTGGCAGTAGCAGCAGCCATGAACCCACCCCTGACCTCCCCCCCCCCACACACACACTGCACCACGCCAGGCCATCAAGCTGGAAAGATTGGGAATCATTGATTTAGGCCATGAAATGCTGGTTGTGGAATTCTGGGAACTGAAGACCACACATCTTGAAGTTGCCAAGATTGAGAAACATTGATTTGGGCTGGTTTCAGATCACTGCAGGCTATGTCAAAGGTCTTCAGCCTATGCACCTTTTGGGTTTAGTTCCAAAAAGTTATTTAAGGCAGTTGCATCTTTTGTGTAACAGCCTTCCATAGCTGCCTTGCAATCTTGAGCAAAAATGTTAGTGCTTTGGATAGGTAAGGTGCTTTTGTTCCTGTTTGATTTAAAATAACTTTTATGGAACTGAATCCCGAGAATTGGCTTTATTTCTACCAAACGGCTAATAGCACCCACTAACAAGTAGTTCTCTTTGGTAGAATAGCCAGAGGCAACATTGGGCTGATGCAATGCAAACTATCCCCTTATATACGTATCTTGGAGTTGCTCATGAGTGTGAAAGGGTAGGAGCTTGTGATGTAATGCTGAGTGTTGCTTTGGTCATTTTGGATCGCATGGATACTTAGAGGGCACTCCTAAAAAAATTCCCTAGGAGGAAATGACATCCTTGAAGGGTGATTTCCTCTTACTACCTCTGGATACTGTTGGAGGATTGGTGTTTTTTTTCTTGTGTGCTTCTAATACTTTCCAATAAAAAGGAATAGAGCAGTGGTTCCCAACCTTTTTTTGGCCATGCCCCACCTAAGCATCTCTAAAATCCTGGTCCCCCCGCCTGTGACATATAATTCTTACTTTACTCAAAAAGTGAACTCTGCTCATGTGGAGGAAGCCTAAAAGGCCATTAACTTGGTTTAAACAAGGTTCAAATTGCTCCCCTATGGGGTGTGGGCCCAAGTTGGGAACCACTGGAATAGAGTAAAAAGGAATTATGACCACAATTGAGCCCAAAATTTATGTTGCTAAGTGAGTTTTGACCCATTTTATGTTCTATCTTGCTACCATTGTTAAGTAAATCACTGCAGTGGTTAAGTTAGTAATATGGTTGTTAAGCAAATCTGGCTTCCCCATCGACTTTGCTTACCCTAAGGTCGCAAAAGCTGATTGTGTGACCCCGGGACAGTGCAACCATCATAAATATGATTGTTAAAGAGTCTGAATTTTGATCACGTGGGAATGCTGCAATGGTTGTAAGTGTGAAAAACGGTCATTAGTCACTTTTTTTTTAGTGCCATTGTAAGTTCGAACGATCACTAAATGAACTGTTGTAAGTTGAAGGACTACTTGTAATGCCCTTTATTCCTCATCCCTTCTCATCCACAAAGGAGAAGGCTCCCATCCACCCATCCTCCGCCAACTCCTGAAACTGGCATCGGTATCACAGGGATTCGTAATCCAGTCGGAGAGCTTCTTCCTAGATTCCAAAGAAAGGGAACAATGAAGTTCAGGAGATTAGATGAAGGAATCCAGGATTCCTGAGTGTTTTTTTCCCCTGTCTCCCGATACCTACACTGGGTTATTTACCACCCACAGCTGACTCAACTCTTAGGCCGTTTTCCACTCCTGTCAGCACTTTCTGATCTTGGGAAGGAAGGAGAAGCCTTGCTTGACTCTCCCCTCCCCTCCTCTGCCTCCCTCCTTTACACTTGCCCAGACAATGTCTCCCTTCCACCCCCAGCGCAGCTCCATTATTCCCATTCAACATGAATCACCTCTCTTAGCTCATCACACCTCCGACAAGAACATTGCACTGTTGGGCAGGTACGAGGAGAGACAGGAAACTCCAGCATCTGTAGGCCTGGTCCACCTTGCGTGTAGGGGAGGGCCAACCATGCCATCAGGACAATATTTGGGGGAAAGCATCCAAACACGAAAGGAAGGAGGGGGAATCTTCCTTGCAGTCTGGTTTCCTGTATCTGAGTCAAGGGAGGTAAAACTCTCTCTTGCTTTAAACAGCCATTCCCTTCCACACCTCCAATTCCATACCAAAGTATCCAACAATATTTCTGCTGGGATTCACAGTGTTCACAGCATTGTAGAGAAAGAAACTCCCTCTTTCTTAGATAATGCATCCATTCCTGTTACCCATGGATAGACCTAGTTTGGTTTAATATAACAAGTTACGGTTGCAGTTTAGTGTTCTGAGTGAACACAGCTATTTGGGTTTCCTAACCATGGGTTGATGTGTTAAAACTGGGTAATTGTGGATTAATAAACTACAATTAAGTAAATAATGTCTTAGGTCTTGTGTAAATTCAAACATAGATCCTATAGAGCAGAGGTCTTCAAACCTGGCAACTTTAAGACTGGTGGACTATAACTCCCAGAATTCTCCAGCCAGAGAATTCTGAAAGTTGAAGACCACAAGTCTTAAAATTGCCAAGTTTGAGGACCCCTGCTATAGAAGATCTGTGATATCTTGAATATGCTCTACTCTGCTATGAATAACAGAAGCTAAATTCTGCTTCTGTTGACGAAATGATACCTAGATTGGGTTTTTTTCCCCTCTTGGGCGTCTTTAAAATCTTCTATCCTCCAGATCGTGCTCCTCTTCTTCAGGAACTTGAGTCTTCCAAAGCAGCCTAAGTGTTCCTCAGTCAAAGAACTGGTTGGACAAGTTATATGTGGGTGGCCAGTAGGTGTGAAATATCCTAAGCTGGGTCAGGAGGGAGCAGTATTCCCGCAACTCTTTCGTTTATCCCAGGCCTTTGTCCCCTCAGACTGAAAGGAAAGTAAGGCCGGATCGGTTCCTGTAAAAGTTGTGAAATTTAGCACATTTTGTGTGAATTCGGTAGATTGAACAAAACCAAGAGAATACCTTGGTGTGAAGGATTCTCTCTTTTGTCTAGTCTATCTCAGAGAAGCTAAAATATGATGGTCACCATAATTAGCACCTCGTAAAAAAAATAAATCCAGACAGGGTAACTGCTTTTCAAAACTTGTCTTCTGAGATTATTATTCTTTCATATCATTGGTCCCTGTGCTATCTCTCTTAGAAGAAAACCACAACAATCTCCTGGCTGCCTTCAAGTCGAACAAATTTATTAAGGGAGAAGATTTCGTGATGAGTCATGGGCCCAAAGTGTTAGCTAAGTTACAGATAAACTCAGAGCTGGCTAGAAAGGAGGGACAGTAGATGTGAGTCAAGGAAAATGTGAAATACGGGAAGCCAAGGACTGCTACCTGGAAGGCTGCCACAAATTAACACTAGCACTAAAAGCAAACATCCTGCCATGGGTAAAGTAATTAATGTATGGTGTGATTAAAAATGGATTGTGTTCATTTGGGGCAAAAATGATAGCCTTAATGCAATGGGAATTGATAGTGAGCCGCCCGGAATTGGCTTTAAGGTAGGCAACTATATAAATGTTTTAAACAAATAAACAAACAAGTAAATAACTCATGCTTTGGTTTCATGTTTCAGCTATATAAATGTTTTAAATAAACAAACAGCTTATGCTTTGGTTTCGTACTTCGGCCTCCTGGCTTGCACTGGGATGTGCAATCTTTTATTTATCCCCAGAAGGCCCCCTTTGTTCTCCTGGGCCTCACAAAAAGTGGGGCCTAGGTTGTCAGTAGGGGATTTTGTGGCAGACTTTGTGCTGGTTCCATTGGGAACGCTTTGGACCCTAATCTTATGCCTCTCTTTTTCAGATGCCCATCCTCAAGCAGTCTCCAGTTTCTCATTCCAAGAAGAGGCCCCGTCTGGATCGAGCCATGATTAGCGCCCCTTTGGGGGATTTTCGACATACGATGCACATTGGCCGTGGGGGCGATGCTTTTGGAGACACATCATTCCTCAGCAACCACGGGGGTGCCAAAACCAATGGGTTGCCTCACGATGTAGCAGTGTCTCCTGGGTCTCTTGGTTCTCCTGGAGATGTTTCTGGTTGCTTTGAATTGCTCTCTCCTCCTGGGAGCGGGAACGGAGTAGTCCAGAGTCCAACAACATCAACCCCTGATGGCAGCTTCATGGTACTGCAGAGCCCAGAGAAGGCTGACTGGAATCCCCCTAATGGAAAAGGTTGGGACCTGCAAGAGAAGTTCTCCCTGGATAGCCCCACTCTGGACCACGCTGAATCCCTTCTCTCTTTCCAGCTGGACTTGGGCCCTTCCATCTTGGAGGATGTGCTGGGAGTGATGGATAAAGATTGGGACAATATTCAAGGGCAGGATCAGGAAGTATTGAGAGATGAGAGCTTAAGCCCATTGGGATGCTCCCAGCAGGAAGATGAAAAAGAACAGGAGGAAGAAGAAGAGGAGGAGGAGGAAGAGGAGGAGGAAGAGGAGGGACAGGGCTACAGTTTTGAAGATGAACAAGATGAAGAGATTGGGTTATAGGAGGAGGAACATCTTGGTTTTTCTCTTTCTTTTCCCCACCCTTAAATTTCTGCCAGCCTGCTCTTGCAGAGTCTTTCAGCCTCTACTACTGCAGTAGTCAGCAACTGGCAGCCTTTTGGCCATATGAGGCCAGCAAATGACTATTTGTAATCCACCATTTTATCCCTGCTTCTTCCCATAGAGAAGCCTTTTTTTTTACCTTCAGATTTCTTATTGTGGTGTTCAAACAGGAAAACGCCAATCAGAATCCTATGGCACATTCCATGATGCTACTTCTGAAAAATAAGTTCCAGAAGGTGCTTAATAATCCTTGTTCTTTCCCCCATCTTCTTGTATTCCTTCCAAGTCCTGGGACAGTGCAGCTTCTTTGTACTGGAAAAATACGTCTTGGCTTCAGCCCATCTCTCTATCTGGAATCTAAGTGACATACCACTGAGCCTGTTACGAAACTCTCTGTCCATCATCTGCTCTTATGTTTATCATTTTTTTTACTTAACCATCTTGAATTCCAGCTCTCTAACCCCCACTGTTGGTTTCCCTCTATGAACTTGGAATGTGCTTTGAGGAAAGGTCACCTAAGAGAACAGACTGAGAGAATGTGAGGACAGAGTCTTAACCAAGAGTCACATGGTTGAAAATACAGACTAAGAATGAATGATACCATTTTGGAAACTCTCTAATGATCTCCAACTATGTGGCCAGTCTCTTGTACCAACAAGTGTGCTGTTGGGACATTCAAAGGTATGAAGCCTTCTTCTGTCCACCAGTCCCTTTTCAACGGATGATCACAACCTAGCTCAATAGCTTCCATTTCAGAATTCATTCACTTTTTTTTCCTCTTAAACCTGTGGATCTGTATATCCAAGCAGTATTGTGTATCCAAGCAATTGTGAGATGTCTTCTTAAGAGATGATCTTGTGTTAAGAAAAGAACAGGATTAGAGGGAAGACAGAAGAACTTTGACACGTTTTCTTGAAGTCAATGAAAAGGATAAAGATCCTTTCATGGCATGAAGAATGAAGAAAAGATATTTGGTTCATAACTAGAAGAGACAGATGAGTGGCCTGCAATTAGCCATGTACCCTAGCTGCCTCTGACAAGGGACAGAATTTTCTGCCAGCGGCCCACCTCAATGTTTTTTGCACCCTGTATAAAAGAAGCATCTGTTTTTGTCAGCAAAGTCATGTACAAAAAAGGACAAAGTTTTCAACAGATATGATAGCTGAAACAATTCTGTGTTATTTTTCGCTCTCTTTTGGCTAGTCACTTTTTAAACAGATTTATTTATGAAGGACAAAACTTGGAGTGCTCGTGTGGAAAAAATATGCATCATTTTTTTTCTTCATTAAAGCTGTGATGGGGTTGAGTGGTAAGGCAAGGTTGCATCCATAGATAGCATCTCTATCCAATTTGAACTGGATAACCTTTTAAATCAGGTGCTTTTAAATTAATAAAATTCAATGGGCTGGAAGCGGCAATAACTGGAGAGGGATTTATACTGGCCAACGTATTTTTGAACAACACTTTTCTAATCCCAGATCCTTCAAATTAATAGCTTGTCTTTTTGCCCATCAGATATTTTTTTTACATTCTTTTTAAAGTGATATTCTGTTACAGCTATCTTGGCTTCCCTAAACTGGCCTGCGGGGAACATTGTCAACTCATTTTTGGAAGTTAATGGTAAACAGTTGGGAAACAAATCTGCCTGTTCTCTGTACATATGCAGAGGTGGTGGTACAGCTGTAGATTTGTTTGTGCTAAATGCAAGAATACGTATATAGAAATAATGCCTTTCCCTTACTGTACCCCTTGGTCCTGCCCCATTAAACTTTATCCATCCTCCTGTTCCTAGTCTAGATCTATTGGCTCCTTAGGGCAATGTTTCTTAATCTTGGCAACTTTAAGAGGTATGGACTTCAACCCCCACAATTCCCCAGCCAACATCTTAAAATAGCCAAGGTTGGGAAATGATGTCTTAGGGATTGCTTATAGACAGATCTAGTCTATATGTTTTTTTGATTCCACTGTGTTTCTGCTTTTGTGTTCTTACTCCTGATTCATTTATTGCAATGGAAAAGGTATATAGAACTACAATGTATATGGCCTTACCTGAAGTATTTATCTGCTACAAAAAAAAGAATAAGTTGTTTTTACTGCCAGAGTGAGTGTTACCACCTCCCTCCTCTCTGCCTAAATGGGACAAGGTTTAAATATGTCAGAATTAAAGTAGATAAAGATGCTCAGTACATTACTACAATTGACATTGCTACAAGATAAGATATTGATCTTAACCTTAGCATCTTTAAGATGAGTGGACTTCAGCTCCCAGAATTCCCCAGCCAACATGGGAATTGAAATCCACTTCTGGGATTTGACTTCCACCTATTTCAAAGCTGCTAATGTTGAGAAACACTAAGCTAACCGGTGGCTCCGAGAAGCTCTGGATGTAGCCAATGAACTTCTCCAGAAGTTGCTACTGAGTTGTAGTTTTTAATATAAGGAAGGAGGAAGAAATAATTAATTTCACAGAGAGTAATCATGCAGACTCTGTTTTGTTTAAACTCAATGTCTTTGTCTGGCTTTGAGAGCACATGCCAATTAAACAGCCAGATGCATCCTTCTGATCATAAAGAGATAAATATCTTTGCAGTAGATCTCAGTTACTTACCGTTTAGTCGTCTATGGAGAGTCTCAGTCAACCAGGTCATTGTTGTCCCAAAAGTGCTTTTTCAAGAGGCAACTGGACTTTTTTTTTGTTCTTCCTTGAACAGGTTTTGCTTTTTATCTTGGATGTCTTCAAGGAAAAACAAAATCCAGTCGCCTCTTGAAAAAGCACCTTTGGGATTAAACCTCGCATATAGCACCAGACATCTCTGCTTTTTTGCAAAAGAGACAGGCGAGTGGGGATGGGAGAGTAGGAAAGACTGTTCAAGTTGTGACCATGTTTTTGCATCACCCATCCTTTCTTAGAAAGCTGTCCTGGCTTTGTGGTGGGAAACATGCTTTCTAGTTTAGTTTTGCTGGATCCCATGTGCCAGCAAAGCAATTTCAAGACTGAAAGTGAATATAGTGCCACTTACCTGTGTTTCTTAGCTGAAGAATGTAGGTTTGGATAGGGGGGTATCAGAGAAGCTTAAGGAAATGGGGGTTCTCCATCATTTGGGATTCTCCATGTGAGGTATAAGGAGAGTTTTAATGTATGAGGACAGAACGGTTGGGTTTTCTAGGAAGTAATGTACAGACAATTTCAACAGAAGCTAGAGTCCCATAAATTAATGTTAGTCAATACTCAGATTTATTATGGGTGGAGATATCTTCCAACTGCAGCCAACTACCAACAGGAGCTTTTCTGAAGAGTGTTTCACAATATACCACCAGTTATTGCTCCAAATAGTTAGTGCATCAAGTATAATTTATGGCAGGAGACTGCTCTGGAATTCTGGTTTTCAACAACCGACCCCCTGAAAGTAACAAGATGATAGAAGTGTGATGCTGTTTATGAAGAAGACAAAATAAAAATATTGGGATGACAAAGAGGTGGGGAGAGCGGGGGGGGGGGGAGTAAAGATATGGGTGTGTCTTTCAAAGCTACAATTCCACTGTTTGATTCTTCTTTACTGTGTGGTGACTTTACCCACGTTAATATAAGCTACAGTTCCTAAAGCAGTATGTCTGCATTGTGAGTATACTCCAAAAGAGGAGGAGGTTTCTAATTCACATAAAAAGAAATAAAAATGTCTCTCATGTATCATCAGGGGGTTAAACGTGGGTTCTTGAGGAGTGAATATTACAGTGTTCAAAACTCTCCAACCTGCGAGCATGACAGATGTTGTAGTCCAGGTTATATGGAGGCCTCTCTGCCCCAATGTATATTGTAATCCCAAATTGCCCCTCTACTTATCTCCATGTTAAAATAGGGGAAACTGGACACTTTTTTTCCCTCCTGTGGTGGTGAGTGTGTTTTATCTCTGTGGTATGATTTTAAAGTTGTTCCATTAATGAGGTTTGGTTATTGACTGCAAATGAGATTGGGGCTGGACTCTTATCTCCAGTTTTCTTTTGGGAGAATAAAACCACCTACCTGTTTGCTATTCTCTACTATTTGTATGCATTTCCAAATAATTCACCCTCCTGTCCAAGATTTAATCCTGAAACCTATTTCTTAGATCCCCACAGATCCTTAGATCTTTTTATTTTTTAAATAATCCTTGCAACTGATGTAGCAAGATGGCTCTGTGTACATTACATTTATTATTTTGTAATAGCTCATTTTATGGGATTGCTATGTAAGAGAATGTCTATACAGCTCTATACAGCTCCCCACTCTTGATGTGTTTAACTATCAACCTACTATCAGACTATTTGTACAGTGACCAAAATGTGTTTGATATTTCTTGTAATTAAAAGCAAATTAGTTTTGGATGCTTTTGTGTATGATACCCTGCCAACAAAACTGCGTATAGTCAAGGCTATGGTTTTTTCAGTTGCAATGTATGGCTGTGAAGGTTGGACCATAAGAAAGGCTGAGCGCCAAAGAATTGAGGCCTTTGAACTATGGTGCTGGAGAAGACTTCTGAGAGTCCCTTGGACTGCAAGGCAGTCAAAGCAGTCAGTCCTAGAGGAGATAAACCCTGACTGCTCTTTAGAAGGCCAGACGCTGAAGATGAAACCTCAATACTTTGCCCAACTAATGAGAAGGAAGGACTCAAGGGAGAAGAGCCTAATGCTGGGAAAGATTGAGGGCAAAAGAAGAAGGGGACGACAGAGAATGAGGTGGCTGGATGGAGTCACTGAAGCAGTTGACATGAGCTTAAATGGACTCCAATGAGGACAGGAAGGCCTGGAGGAATGTCATCCATGGGGTTGCGATGGGTCGGACACAACTTCGTAACTAACAACAACAACAACAACCTATTCCCACCAGACTCTTTGCTATCACTGCCTGGTTCATGGAAGGAGTACTAGAACTGCTCAAGGGTGGGGTTTCTTGCACTGAAGAAGAACTACAGGTAAGTCTCATCTTATGACCGTAGCAATAGCTCTTATAAGTATATACTGCTCCAGGATGAAACTGCTGGCAGTCAGCAGGGTTAGCCTGCAATACTGCATTCTAACCACTGCACCCGCACTACCATAATTTAGTCCTAAAATTCTCTTTCTAAGAAAGACAGTTGCTAAGTGAATTTTGCCCCATTTTATTCCCTTTTTTGCCACAGTTAAATGAATCAACTGCAACTGTTAAGTTGGTCCCGGTTATTAAGTAATTCTGGCTTCCCCACTGACTTGTCCGAAGGTTGCAAAAGATGATCACATGACCCTGGGGACACAGCAACCGTCATAAATATGAGTCAATTGCCAAGTGTCTGAATTTTGATCACATGACCATGGGGCTGCTGCAGTGGTGGTTATGTGTGAAAAACAGTCACGAAACACTTTTTTTCAGTGCTGTCAAACTCTCACTAAACACAGTAAATTGTATATAATAGTATTCTGAGTCAAGGTATATTAGACCCAAAGCAAGCCAGGATATTTTGGAATCTTGCTCAGCATTCTACAAATCTTCTTGACTTTGGTTTCCTTTCCTTGTTTCTCTTATATGCATACCAGAAATCATTATACTACCCTTCCATGTTGCCCAAACTGGCCCTCAGTTGCACCAATTGCTCCTCATCCATTGTGATCTTGATCAACTAATGTGATTCCTCCCCATGGACACCTCCTCATAGTGGTAGATCTTGTAATCTTGTTTCCATTTCAGCTGATCAAAAAAGGAAAACTGGGATTTCTTTGTATGCAGTCTTAGCCGTAGGAGTTGCCATTAAAAAGGAACCCTAAATGTGGTAGCTTTTGTTATTTAAAAAAAAACCTTTCTGCTCCTTTTTAACCTGCTAAACATAATCTAACATCCAGTGCTCTACGGCTTCCCCTATTGGCTCTGTAAATAACTGGCTAGATGGGTGGCTTTTTATCAGGAATGTGATCAAGGCATCTTTCACTGTCACTGATTCATTGTCATTCCTGTCATTCCTAGTACTATGCCTGGATATTTGAGAGAAACTGTGTAAAGATGTCTCAACACTGGTTGTAAAACAGATTTATTCGCTGATTTTTTATATACACACACACATACACACACACACACACACACACACACACACACACATACACACCAGGGGTGGGTTTCTTGCCCCGTTC